GCTCCATACATAATGCCACCACTCTCATTACTGAAATATATCTGAAACTAACAATCTGTCAGAAACGGAGGCTGAGAGCGATGAATACATCCGCAAACACCATTTTTACGTGAACTCCCGGACGAAAGAGGCACAATTTGATCCAAAATCGCGTTCAGCCGACGAACACTGCGATCTAATCCGCGTACTAGGAATTAATTAGCAGTTCTGAACTCGACGTTTACCGGTTGTTTAGTGACTTCTATGGCTGTTTTTTTCTGCGTAGCAATGGGTATAATTAGCACATCATGCCAGCCAAAAAATTTTCGCTGAGAACAGAAAAAATGTTAATTGAAAGCTATTCTATTTGGCACTTTAGTATGGAAAAGAAAGGCACGCCAAAACCTGAAGAGTGTGAATTTCCGCTCAAAAGTTAGAGAAGTAAAAAAAGTGAATAGAAATTAAAGTAACAATTAGCGCGAAGCAGTGAAAGCAAAATGAAAATTTCCAAACTTGCGCTTGTCACAGAATTTGCGATTAGAAGGAACTGGTGTAGGGATCCCACTCCAGTGATATTACTAAGATGTTTCTACATGTCGGCATAGCTAAATCAAGCCCTTTTATTTCGAGTTGCTTTGTCCACTTAGCAGTTAAACAACGCTGAAAACAGTTTCTGAAAACTGGACCCGACGAAAACGAGAGATCGCATGGCGAAACTCATAGCTAAAACCAGAGTCAAATCTTTTTGATACTGAACTTGCAAACGAAAAACAGTGGAAAAACAGTGGAAAAGTAGAAGGGGTAATCAAATAATGTCAAATTTCAATTCTTTTCAGCGGTGAATGTAAATGCTTAAATTTGGCAATCAGTGAAGTGTAAAAACTGGAAGAATTCGAATATTTTTTATTTATACCTTTCCATTCGCAATAGGTGGAGGCGAAGGACAATCAAGAATAATTGATGTTGTCGTAGTTGCTGCTGCTTCACTATGCCCGTGAATCGTTTCATTTTGAACTGCAATTATTTTA